ACCTGCATAATTGATAAACAGTAAAAGGGAGAGGGAGGGTAGCTGTGGAGTGCTAGTCTGAACGAGATATTTAAAGTGAATCTGCTGACAGTAACGCTTGGAGACAGAGCATTGAATAATTCATCAATTCTACCCACTTGCACCGTTTGCTTGGTAGGGGCAGATGCATTACAAAAATCTAACTCTTGGGCTAACAAAAACAAGCCCAGTTAATGCGGCTCAGAACAGGAGAAATTATTTCACACCTGTCAGTTTACCATGGAACAAAGGATCTGATTGAACAAAGTACCGACTGTTGATTCTCTTCCTAAAATTAGGTTTAATCCATCAACATGCATGTTTAGGAAGTCTATTCATGATTTTATACTCTAGTATTCTATAGTAAATACTTTCTTTTTGTAGGCTTAGAGGGTTAACATTATTTTAATCTGCAAACAAATAACATTCCTAAATCTGCCAGCAATACTTTTACACACAACGTAAAATGATGTGTATTATTTCCCAATTGGCATCATAATTGGAACAAAATGACATCAAATCTCAACTGAAATTTGAATTTAAATGCTGCTTATTACAAAATATTATGCACGATATTGTACAAACAATCTAAAATAAGGAAGTAAAGAATTATCTTTGAGAGAATACAAAATAAGCATTATTAATTCCACATCACTTCCAACCCACTGAAAAGCCAGTGGACAACTGGCTCCAGCAGGTCACAGTCTTCTAGTTGTCCGTAAAGCTCACCCAAGAGAACCCCATGGCCCTCAAGGGCAGGAAATGCGAATTTCTTCAGAGAACCAAGCTTTTTATGCAGGGCACATAAAACATTAGTCCTTGCATGAGGACACTAGATTTAATGATGTCTTTAACCTCTAAACACCCTCACTCCTCCTCCGTCTCCAGGGAAGGAGGATCAGGGTAAAAGGGGGCCTGCTGAAGAGGCAGCTGTCCCTTTCAAGTCACTGTGTGATCACTGCTAGAGCTCCTCAGTTTGGAACGAGCTTTTTTCTCGGTTAGTATGAAGCACAACCAGCATTGCTTGTTCTAGTTAAGACTATTTTGTAATCTGAACAGTTTACAGCATGATGGGGGGGTTCGGTATGGTTTATGATCTTAATTCCAAAACTGAACTATTTCCTGCCTCAAATTGTCATTAAAATGATTATCAAGAACCACTTCCAGCAAGAAGCAACACCATTCATTCATGTCTCATTATTGATTAAAAGGAGCACTACGAAGGCATACTAAAACAAATATTGTTCAAAAGCTATAGTCTGAATATGAAACTCATCTGAAATTACTGCCACTATACAGCAAGCAGGTAATCAGGGAAACATTTTTCTAAGTCTGGTGATACATCTGGTCAAGTGATAACAGTGGAGTCTACAGTATTCAATATGAATAATTGTTTTCTATAGTTTGTACTATTCTGGCAATAAATGAAATACGAGAAACAAATACAGTACCTTGTAAGACGATATTTGTGATTAAAACTTGAATGCTCAAACTAAGCAGTTAAATGTCAGCTAAAACTGCAAATGAAATGTATATAGAACTTATTCAATATTTTTACTCTTCTTTACAGAGCATTTCACTCATTGACAGAGGACCAACCTGCAAAACTCTACATTTTGTTGCTGTCTCCTCCTTGCGAACATGACACTTTCAAGTAGAACTTTATGTTTCAAACCTAGTTGTAGCTAGCTGGTAGTATGATAGTAGAGGTACAGTAGTTTGACTCTCAAAGAAAATGAGAACATTATAATTTGAATAAATATTCAAGCCCTTTTGTTGCAGCATCCTTAAATCAGTTCAGGCGCAAAACATTTGTTTGCATCTCTTTTTGTATATTACCTCAGATACTGTAGATACGGAATTTCGAGCCACAATTCACATAGTGAAACAACAGATCGACCACAAAGACCATGGAGATTTTGAAACAAAACTGGGATAAATGTGGTAGAAAAACACACATCTGGAGGTTTACTGATCTCGTTGAGTACAGTGGATCCAACCATTAAGAAGTGGGTATATATACAGTATAACCTAGACTCTACCTAGATCAAGCCAAT